AGTTTTCCACCTCCTTTGTGTATTAACCTTTATAGAAAGTTTTATACAACAAGTACTCCCACTGGAAGAAAATCAAGAGTGAGAATGGGTCCTAGTGTTCACCTTAGCTCAAACTACAAATAGTTCCAGGCAAAATAACACCGAGTACGACCGAGTAGGACTAACACTTTCTTTAATACTCTATCTTTAGATAAACAATATTTTAAGAAGACAAACCAGACTACGTTAATGCTATTTACAAAGCTGAATAACAAAATGCCTCTTCTCTAATTATACTGAACGGTTCCTCGAAAATTTGTTTCACACTGTGGCAATGGGTAACAATCCCCTCTTCTTCCGTCTTCCATTTGTGCTACACTATCAGGAAAAAATGCTGATTTTCGCAAACAAGACGAGAATCACTATCAACTTCGTTGAAAATATAGTTCTTAGAAACCCCTAGGGGTTACTCATTAAAAAAAGGGAAAATTAATGAAAGGCTTTTATACCAGTGAGACCACAAAAGACCCGTCAACATCTTTCAGTCTCAAAGAAAAACATCGACCTTCTCATTTACAAACGAGGGAAATACTTCAAAAATCCTGACACATTTTGGTGCAAAGAGAGAAAACAAATCTGCATTGGGACAAATTTATTTTTTGTACCCATTAGAGTGCTGTCTACGTTGCGAGGTGGTTGCTCAGAATTGAGCGGATAATAAAAGCAAATAAACAGAAACAAACAAAAAAACAGACACTGTTCAAATACTGAAAAGAAAATGCATAGAAAACTGGTGGACGCCAGCATTCTCGCGACACAACGGGTAGAAAAGTCTGTATGGCTTTGTCGCACCTCTTGCCAAACAACGTTTGTAGATTTTTGTTTTTTTTTTTTTCAAACGGTGCTATTTCGTTCCATATGCAGTATTCTCTTATTAGTCACGTTTCTCAATGGCATGTTTTCTGCACGCCTGCAGGAGGATACACTTATGCTTAAGAGGCTAAATAACGCTTGGTAGAGCCGCATAGACCGTTTCCATCTTAATGGATGGCATCAAGTCGTTCACATCAACTAGTTACAAAAGTTTTTTTTCATACCTGGTTACATGCAATCAAAACGAGGTGAGTATATCAGTTTGTATTAATATGATAAACTGCAGGGGTTGTAATCACAATCTTGTCTGTTAACCTTTGAAACAGTCGCATTATTTTCTGATTTCGGGGTACAACGAATATCAAGAAAGTGTAAATGTGCTGTTTAGGATTGAGGTCATGGAAGTGACCGCCAAGGCAAAACTGAAGGTCAGTAGTTTGTAAGGATATTTTGAAAGAATAAAAGCTGTTTTGTAGTCTCCTTGTCTACTAATCCGACTTCGGCTAAAGTATTTCCAAAAGACAAAACTGAAATACAATACTCTTCAACAGTGTGCACAAATCTACGAGAAAATTGTGTTAATTCATATATCATTTCATTTTCTTACAAAACTACTTTACATAAGAAAAGAGGAGCACTATGTCAGTGCTTGCGCTGCCTCATAGCGTATGTATGCTGTTGTTGTTGCTGCTGCTGCTGTTGCTGTTGTTGTTGCTGCTGCTGTTGTACTTGCTGCTGCTGTAGTAGCTGTACAGTAGGGCCAGCAGTCCTCTGAAGGGTGACAGTTGTCATCTGCTGAGGCTGCTGTGGCTGCTGCTGTTGATGTTGAACCTGTGCTGTCCCCAGCTTGACCACAGACTGAGTAACTTGACTCTTCACCTGCACAGTGCTCGCCACCTGCTGCTGTTGTTGCTGAGCAACAAGCAGTTGAGCCTGCGACGTCATTGGTTTTGCCACACTAGCAGTGGCAGTAGCCATCTGGCCTCCCTGTGCACCGTGGATGGTAGTCACTCCTCCTACAGCCTGCTGCTGTTGACGTAATGCCATATTTTTTAACATCTGCTGTTGTTGCCGCTGTTGAAGCTGATGCTGCAGCTGTAACTGTCGCGAAGGTGTTAACTGTGCCAGTTGCTGCTTACTCAGGAGCTGTTGAAGCTGTTGCTGGGTGATCGTCTGAGGAGCCTTCTTCAGTATAGCAGCTTGCTGTAGGTTTGCAATCTGCTGCTGCTGCTGTTTCTGTTGTTGCTGCTGCTGCTGTACAGTGGCCTGCTGCTGCACTGTACCTGGCTTTGGCATTGTGCTTGTATTGGAAGCAACAGCCCCCTGATTGACTTGCCCTTGATTAACTTGTTGAATCTGGATGCGTTTGAGTTGTTGCTGCTTGATCTGTTCTGCTTGATGTATCCTTTTCATTTGTGCCTGCCGCTGCTGCTGTTGCCTCAGTAATGTAAGCTGTTGGGGAGTCAGTTTCACTCCTTGCGGAACACCAAACTGCGTTGTAGCAACTGGAAGATTATGACCTGAAGTAAACCAACAGTCAAGCGAACCACACGTCAGTTACAAGAAAAAAATTACAGCAGTTCTAGAAAACTATTTTAAAGAGCAAAACACACTTGTACTGAAGCAAGATACTTTTGAAATAAGAAATGCTGGCCAGCAGCGATAACAATACACATACTTGCAGTAGCAACTGACGAGGAAGTTTGTAGTCCAATCTGTGAAAAGAAATCAAAACAGTTGGTTGCTGAACGGAAGGAAAAATTTGTTTAAACCCTTCACAAGCTGCAGTGAGGCATCACAGTGTAAAATTAATAATCTCTAAACAGGGAAGGCGGTCTAGAGTCAAATGGTACAATTTAATTAACCATAGAAGACAAATGTTTTAAAAGCGTGGAAGCAGAGGAACACACAACTAAGAATAAAACTCCTTAACTTGATTCAGGTATCAAATGAAGGCTGGAATTAAATAAAATTGTTTGCAAGACTTGAACTACGGCAACATGTCATCCGTGTCAGTGACCAACCATCTGACGAAATTACTTTCTTTAGTTGAGGAGTTTGACAACGGGGCAAAAATGACTATCTATTGTTGAGTCCTCTCCCGAGAATTTAACTTGGATGATGGAAAGAGATAGAGTGATTTTATATACGAAATTAACAGTCCGTTTCCCGTAAGGGGTGTAGCTCGCTCGGATAGCACGTCAAGCAGAGTGACAACTTCCTGGAATGAGGGTTTATGGCTCTGGTGTTGGAGATTAGCAGTACTCTTTTTAAGGGCTGTCTGGCCACAGTGGAAACAGCTGGATGTCTCAGGCACCCACCTGTTGGCATGATCTCCTTACCTGACTGACCACAGCTGCTGATGATGCCGGTGTTAAGCTGGTGGTAGCACCCAGTGTTATTGATGTTGCCGTGCCTGATGCAAGAGAGCTGCTGACCTGACGCGGCTGTGTCTGCAGAACTCTTGTTGTTGCCACACCAGCTGAAGATGCATTCTGATGAAATCAAACATCAAAATTTACTTTGTTAAAGTGCCTATGAAACCAAATGAAAAAGTTGCTCAAAATAACTTTGTGGTATTGATGATAATGTTCTGACTGTATACTTTTCCATGACCTTGACAAAGAAACGCGACCGTGTGAGACATATGCTTCCGCGGCCATTTTGATTTGATGACGACACAGGGTTTGCACAACTCGCAGCAATTTTAAAAAGTCAATAGATATTGTGGCGATAGTAATGGCGGATAAAAGCGATATCCCCGACGAGGAGGGAAATAGTGTGCAGCAGGAAGCCGTGACAACGCTAGTTGTACCAATACGAGTTATTCCCCCCCCCCGGGAGGGGGGGAGAAAGGATTCTAAACTTAACTGTTTATTAATCTTACCGCTGGCACTTGAACAAGGGAAGTTGGTATTTTGCCTTGCATCCTTTTGTTGATTGTGGCAAAGGATGATGATGTCATAGAGCTGAGACCTGCAGCATTGCCCTTGTGAGTATTAACCACAATACTCGAGGTACCTGCAGCAGGTACAGTTTGACCACTGAGCACAATTCCGGCAGCTGTCAATCAAACAACAATCAGCAACTACTATTGGTCTCTGATTTGTTGTAAGAGCGGTTTTCATTAGAATAGTAATTGGTTTTGCATCACTACGCTACACGATTGGTTTAAAAATTTCGCGCCACTTTTTCATCCGATCAGAAGTAAAACCAAAACCAATCGTGACTCATTCGCATAAGTTTTCCCGTGCTTTACGTCGGCTACACGCAGTTAATTCGAGTTTTGATTGGTTTGCTGTATTGCCTCTGTCCCTTGTGATTGGCCAGAGTGATTGCTTTGGTTTTGGTTTTACGACACTCAATTGAAAACCACTCTATCGCAACTCTTAACTACACATCCTGAAAACCTGTTCTCTTAGTAAGTGCAACCTTCCACACTAACAAATTTCATTGTGTTGAGTAAAAGTGAAAAGAAAAAGTGAATTCTGTTGCCCAGCCAGGGATCAAAGATGCATGGCAAATGAGTTTCTGTAGTATGAAATCTGATCAAACAAAATGAAGCCAGTTAAAACGTCTAATTTATTATCCAAAGCTACAGGAACTTTAACAAATAACTCTACTTTGACAGGACATCTAGAAATTTCATGACCAGATGCAAAAATGAATTCCCAGACTTTTGGACCTTCAAATCTTTTCCCGGCTTTTCCCTAAACCTGAAGCAAACCTGCATCAGAATAATTTTCATTTTTGGCGTAACACTTCAGTGAACGCACCCATCTCTTAGTTTAATGCACCTCAGAGATATATATTTTATGTCAAATACACATAAAAGATGAAAACATTAACCTGTAGTCTTCAGCAAAGTGGATGCAGGCGTGGTTCCTGTAGCTCCCTGAAGAGCTGCATTTTTCTGAAGTGCTGCAGCGGCCTGAAATATTCATACCATGAGCAGCATTAGTTCATGTGTGTCTGTGATCAAAATACCTATTCAGTTTGCTTTCTTTGAGCTTTAGTTCTGAGAATTTGGTGACATATCAAGACAATATATATCCGCTAGCTTTATTGTATCAGTCCTGACACTGATCTATTCTGATTGAAAATGTACTGATCATGTAAGAAGAAATTACAGGTTAGTCACCATCATAAACATATTTTATAGTTGATAAATACTAGGTATTGTTACCAGATGGCATGCATTTACCAAACAATCTTAAATTTACATGTATACAGGTCATTCATATTTCTCCAAACCAAGAATTGAAGTATCAGAAGGAGACACAACATAAATTGTATGATATAACTTACAGCAGTAGGTGAAGAGTTAAGCTGTGTGGTAGTGGTTAGTTTTTGAGCAGGAAGCTGTGGTGTTGTACTTGGCAGCTGTTTTGTCACAGTCTG